AAAATAACGATAATAATATTAGCGATCATAATGATAAGGATAATGATAACAACAGCAATAAAGACAACGACAAAAATACAGCCATGATAACAGTAAGGGTAAGAGCAAAAATATTTCTATGTTACTGTTATGATTGTTAATTTAATAAGAATTAGTAATGGTAATAAAGTCGCAAATGCGTCAGATCAAAATATTATGTTTGTATATTCAGATTGTTATTGATTTTGTTCATTAATATTTTATTATCATAATAATCAAGTCGATTTTATAATTATTCTCAATATATTTATTATTATTGTCACTATCATTATTATTATTATTATTATTATTATTATTGTTATTGTTATTATCATTTTTTCAGCATGAATGTTATTACTATTATTATTACTATTGTTATTATCATTTTATTATTATTATTGTTATTGTTATTCTTATTATTACTATTAATGATATCATTATTATCATCATTATCAGGATTTTTTATCATTATCATTATTTTGTTTTTTTGTCGATGCTGTTATGAACATCATTAATTACCATAACTATTATCATAATGTTAATGATAATGCCAAAAATAATAGCAAATATAATAATAATAGTGATAATAATGATAATAATGATAATAATGATAATAACAATGATAATGACGATGATGATGATTATATATTATAATATAATGGTACAAAACTGAGTGGAGTTATGTCTGGCAGCTCATTGTTATCCCTAATATCTTTGCTCCATTCACTTCGTTTGTTTTATTAAATTTATTTAGTTTGTTTTAATCCTATTAATTGGTATCTTTGGGTCATCTTATATAACGCAGTCGTCTCAGTTGCATTAAAAACCATTAATTTATTGTTTACAGACTTTTGTTAATGTCCACAGCCACAGATGACTTCAATTACATCTCTGACAAACACATGTATTCGTGTCAGTGTTTTTTTTATTAATGTTTTTAACTTGTTATATATTTAATAAACACGCATTTGTCAATGTTTAATTGTTTCATTCTGTTTCGTATTTTAGCCTGTTACTTGTATCTGTGGCTATGTCTTTTTTACATCTGGTTATGTCTCCTTCAATTTCCCGTGAACCTCCGTAGTGTTGATAATGCTGATATGAATATAATGATGATTATGATAAGCAGTATTGAGGATAATCACTAATAATATTAATATAAAAATGAAATCATCTATAATGATAATGAGGCTATTACTACTACTACTACAGTAATAACAACAATAATCATTATCATTAATATTATTATCATTATTATTATTATTATCATTATCATTTTATTGCCATTGTAGCAAATCGATCCCAAATGAAAATAACAATATATATATATATATATATATATATATATATATATATATATATATATATATATATATATATATATACATACAGTATGTATATATATATATATATATATATATATATATATATATACAGTATATATATATATATATATATATATATATATATATATATATATATATATATATATATATATATACAGCATGTATGTATGTGTATATATGTATATATATACATTATATGTATACATTTATATATACATATATATACATATAGATCTCTCTCTCTCTATATATAGATAGATATAGAGGGAGAGACAAAGATGGAAGAGACCACAGAACTAGATACTGCTACTGAATAAGCCTCGCACTACCAGGCAGTGTCATCGGGTACAGTGCAGTCCTAGAAAGCAATAGAATCAAAATAAATGCTAAATAGATTGACAAAACGTCATGTGCTTCTGTGGGATAGGTGACATGCGTATGGTATGAATACTGAGATATAGCACTGCTTGCTTATTGGACCCGAACTCAAGAACCGGGTAATTCGCTAAGTACAGCAGGAGAAAAAAAAATCAACGCATCAATAGTGATCTTCAGTTCCTCTCTTGACTAGTAACATTAGTCAGCAGTGTACTAAGAGTTCTATTGAAGGTCGTTATAGTCTCGGGTTTAACTTTTTTCCCTGCTGAGAATTTAGTTTAAATTGAGTTAGGTCAGGGCAGTCGGTTTCGTCTGCAATGGCATGCCGAGAGAAACACTGCGACGACGTTAGACTATTGGTTGTTTTCCTTTCATTTTCTTCAGACGACATTCAGCCTGGGCTACGTTAGTTCGTTACTTGACCGTTTGAAATGAAAAACAGTCTAAATATGCAGAAATATAAAGCAAATTAAAGAAACAAGCAACGAAATTTAACCACATGCATAACTGGCAACTCGCGTCTCATAAACAAAAGAGCGAAATCCAACGACAGATAAAAAGCGACCGCCATAACCTACCGCATCCACTCCGGCCTTGCACTGAAGAGAGGACCCTCACGATCATTGTTGGCGTAGGTCAATAAAAATAATAGGGGTCGTAAAAAGGCTGAAGAGGGAAATGGGGGGGTGGGGGAGATAAAAGACCCTTGGTCATAGAGTAACGCGGGAGTTTCGGACTTGTTAAAAGGGGGGGGGAGACTTCATTTGAAAGAGAGGTCTCTGTACACTAATACCGTTCCTGATCTCCTTGACAAGACCTTGAATTACTCTCAATTGGAGCACATACATCTTTCCACGAAGTGATTCTTCGCTGAACCCTATGCCTCCACTGGCGCTGGATCACACACATCTATGTGCTGTATATGATCCTGGTGTTTTTCAACAATATATTTAATCGTAAAGCAACCTTTCATCAGCATAGATAGAGACAGATACATACACACACATATATATATGTGTGTGTGTGTGTGTGCATATATATACACACATATATATATAATATATATACATATACATATACATATACGTATATATGCAGAGATATGTATACATACACACATAAATATCCCACGATTTTTTGTTGTTGCTGTTGCTGTTGTTGTTCTGAGTGTGTGTGTGTAATCTTGTCTGCTCAGCCAACCCCAGCTTTTTTCTAACCTTGCATCCTATATCAGTTGCATGACAGAGCGTCGCTGGCGTCCGTTGAAACCCTAAACAAGGGAACTGCATATCGAAGTGCTTTTTACTGCAAGGATGTTCAAATGTTTTTTCAATATGTTTCTATATAAACGACCTCATATTGTGACGCTGAAAATGAATAATATCAATGACAGGTAATGTCTCAATATTGATTCAGCGTAAAATATTGTTTTACGTGATACTACAAATAGAAAAAACACAGTAAAATGGCAAGCGTTAATAACACTAACAACAAACACATGAATTCTTTCGCCAGCCATCAAAGTCATTCGGGAAGCCATCCTGTTTATCTCTTCGGGAGTGTCAACCCCAGTTTTATACAATCGATACCTATGCCCATTACAGAACAGATCGGTGTTTGTGCTTCTCCATGCATTTTACATGGAAGGAAATGTAAGGAAGTCTATCTCCAGATGGTTCAGCGTGACGCAAATAAGTGTAGTTGTTCATCAACAGATGGCGTCGCCCAATCTCATGTCAGACAGAGATATTTATCATAAAAACGGCAGCAGATGGTGGCGTTACATTACTTGGTTATTGTTTTTGAAAGACGCTGATTCTTTCGGGGAAGGGAAAAAATAGGAATTATATTTTTGAGTAAAAGTCAGTTGATATTCCTTCACGTATAAATGTTAGCTTTACACTACGAAAATACCGCTCGATACACTATTGGCGGTGTTTTTCGTGTTAATTGGTCCCTGCTTGCTTTCCCACTGCGAAGGGCGTGTGTTCACATACCCAAGTAGCACCACGGTTGATGTTGGGAAGGGCACCTAATCAGGCATGGGTGGCGGTACCAGTGCCAACGTCTGACAAGGGCACTGTATCATATATTCCTTCTTGTTCTGTGTGATGTGGCTGTAGGCTTACAATAATAAAACTATATACCAACATTTAGTCAGATTGCCTGCTTCAAGTTTGTTTGTTCCAGTGTGGTCTTTAATGATATAGATCTGGTGTTACTGAATAAAACGGCAAAAATGCAAGCTTTTCCCTATATTGGATTTCTGTTTATTTTGAGGTTAAGAAGAAACAAACAAATGTTTATATCATCATGGCAAGATATTCATAGCTTTGCACGCTATAGTAAAGGTGTTATTAAACTATAATTAGAGTGTTAGCTGTAACGAGCGTCTTAACCTTACGAACACACATCAAAAATGAGAAGTTAACTTCTAAACATTACTCTATCAGTTATTCTTTATCACCAACTAAGATTGTATTTAGATTAATTCATTAAATATATAACATTCTAGAAAAAAAAACGTATTCAATGATTCTACAGCGTAACATAAGGTTGAAGGAACCATGTTTTGTTTTTTACTCAGATAATAACCATGGATTTTCTTCTCCGAAATTCCGTATTCCAGCACGAGTAATGGGGCATCTTAAATACACGGAAATAAATAGCGCAAAATAAGGAATATGACTAATAATTTGGGACTACTAGGTCCAGTTACCTGCTAACAGTGTTTAATCTTTAATCTTTGCAGTCTTTCACCGTTATCTGAGAATAAAATTGTTTTAAAAAGCTTCCAAGTCTTCCAAAATGAAACAGATTTCATTTATAACAACAGTATATACAGCAGAGCTCATTACCTGTGAATAACATCATGTAAACAGAAAAAAATATATCCTTGTCATAATGTCAAGACCTTAATCTAAATATACATGATTTAAGGAACTTATTTTAAACACTGTGTACAAGCGAGAGGATTTAGTCAAGCTAATGCTTTGTTATGAGATCACGTGACATAGCTTTTCAATGAACCTTGACTGTAGAAACAGAAAGACTATAGATTTTAATGCCAAACTTTCGCGTTTTTTCCCGACAAGTAAATGACTCAAATCTCCTTAACAATTATATATTTGCCCTTGGAGTAAGCTGGGTATTTTTTTTGTTATAAAGAACTTTTTTTCTATTATTTTAACTAACAAGGAAAAGTGAAGCGTAAAATCATGTTCCCAGGATGGAAATTAATAAACATATATACTGATATATCTTTCCTTATAATTTATTCACTTAATATGTGTATAATGTTTTGTGTATATACAGTAGACATAAGAAGAGAGAACCATTTCTTACAGAAGTGCCAAAGACAGGCATCCTATTACTGGACACTTCGAGTTTTGTTCATCTGTACAGGGATGTGATGAGAATATACTAATATAAAAAGGCTATACAGAGTAATTACCAAAAACACACACACACAGACAAAAACGTACAAACAAACACACCACATTAAAGAATTATTTGTTGAGCGCAAAGAATATGCAAACAAGAAAATCAACACTCATAAAACACGTATATAAATGTAATTTATACTTGAACACAAACATATGTTGCATGAGCAATGAACCTCCAAGGTAATTATATATTCAAAACTGTATATGCAAATACATATTGAATCTTATGTGCAGATAGAAACTGAAGGCAAACCTACACTTAAGTGAAAATTTATATACAAATCCCCTAAGTTCACTTCATGGGGGCATCTGTTTATTTGTTTATAGTACACCTGGCTTACAATCTTTATAACGTCTTGTAAAAGTTGCAGGTAAGTAGTCTTAAGAGTGATGGTATATATATGTAACGGTATCATGACAGTGCAACTATTGTTCACACATGAACCAAAATATCAAGATTATTGGAGGAAAAAAAGACAGAAAAAACTTATATCATACTGACCAGTTAAAGACAGGCTTGCAAAGAACACAGGGGGTAAACAGAATTTTTTTTTTTTTTGCAATCTTATGTGCATTCTGGAATTACCTGAACACTGTTTAAGCATGTGGAAATGCTGACAAAAACAGACAGAAGACTCTGACTCATCATATTAAGAATGACTTTTTGCTGTAGCGTTCAGTTCACCCGTACATTATCTACATGCTTTCTTCAAAGAGGCGCTAACAACACACACGCATTTAAAACAAAAATATATATCAACTGCTGTTCCAGATAAAAAACAGTATCAGTTGTCTTTTCACACTGGAACCAATGTGATGATTGGTTAACGCCAGATAACAGTACTATTTATATATGTATATACAGTGCGTATACATATACTACAGTATTCTTCTTTCTGTAGCAAAGCAAGCTACAATAAAATTCTCTCAGTGTTGAGCATAAATATAGCAAATCACGAATATTGTTTAACTGCAACATTGTAAATCTTTAAACTGTACATCAACAAATCATAGAATAAAATGTCATTCCATCCAGAAGTACATCAAATCATTTGGACAATATTATTATATACACATTCATTCATTGTCATAATGCACATAAACCCACACATATTCAAGACATCTAAGAGTACTACCAGTGAGTATAATTCTTCCTTGTGTTAATATACAGTCATCTGCAGAAACTGCAGTGATTTTACATTACAGAAATCTGACTAGCAGTCGGGGAAATTAAGGCAAATCCTTCTGTGAAAATACTATTCTTAAAGCATAAAAAGGGTACTTATTGATTTGATACTTACATGTTAATATCCTCTAAAACGACTTAAAGACAATGTTACTTAATTCCACTTAAGTACAGTCTAAAAGGTAATGAACTGTTTCAGGCACCCAACATTTTCTCTACAAGACAATGACTGTGACGTTTCAGCCGTCCGCGCTCTTACCTGAGATAGCATACAGTCACAAAGACCTACTTTTATTTCCATACATAACACTGTACATTACTTATTACTTGCACACTCTTCCAACTCACGTTCAGAACTCTTAATAGGTTTTCTTAATTATTCTGAAGCACGGTTTGGTCATATCGATCACACAGTGTTGACCTCAGTTAAAATACGGAGAAAATGATCATGAATTTACTAAATTCATGAACATCCAAGGAATTTACAAAGGTAAATATTATGAAAGGAAAGTGAACATGAAGGAAATGCGTGCTACAGAATAACCCAGGATTCGTCATTATTTTTTTTAAAGACTTACACTTCCTTATCATACACGTATCAATCTTTTGAGACTTTGAAACAATGCCTTGGGCTTAAACTAGATGATTATATTAGACCGAAGTTCGTGAGCTCCTCTTCCTTCTTGACGAACGCAAATAGCAATACCCCACTGATTAAGGATATCTTATACACGCCCCAAAAATATCCATGAGTATTTGGACAAGTCATTAACTTCCAAAAAGAAACAAGAGAGATAAAGAAGAGAAAATAAAAACACTCATAAAATCCTCTCCTCTCCTCTCCTTCCTTCTTTTTTTCGAGGAATCTAACGTCGAGGAAACCTAAGCAAGGCGTCCTCTCCTCTAGGAATTTCTTCTTGCTGTTTGCCCTCCGTGGTGGTGGCATTTGACGATGAACTCTGCATTGGGGTTGTCCTGGTATATGGTCAGGAGCTTCGCTTTCGAGTCCAGACGACGGTCGCCTAGAACAAGGAACGAGAAATGAGAATACTTATACCATAGTAGAGATTATAACGCAAACTGAATGGAATAAATAGTACATAGAGTACATTGTATATGGCTATTAGTAAAGGTTATAAAGCATACTGAACATAATACTGTAGATTATATAGTATGAAGAGTACATTGTATAAGACTACTAGTGAAGAATATAACGAACACTGAATAAAACAGATTAAATAGTATGATGAAAGCATAATATATGGCTATCAGCAAAGATTATAACATAGTAAATACATAATAAAGGGATGAGTAGCCTGTAACTTAAAGAAATCATATACATCCCCCCACAGACGTCTACACACAAATAATCAACTTCGTTAAGATCATCTATTTCTACGACTCCTTCACAAAACCTTTTCTCCCTTGCCTTCATGAGTGGAACTTAAACAGAAACTCTTTCATGAGCATATACAATAAACTCTTTTTCACAGAACCTTCTTTTATACAAATGTAATAAATTATTTTCCTTATTGTAAAGCATTTGTAACATTTTTGGCATATATGTAACCCTTACCATTCCCGACAACGTTTTTGAACAAGAATTTTGCTATATCCCTTGTGTGAGCTTGTCCCATGCAAGTAAATATAATACCATCTTTTATTACAGCCCCGTTGATTGCATATAAAACCAGCTTTCCCTATTACACCCATCCTCAAGAATATATAACACGACATTCCTTACAACCCCTTCGCGTATAAGTATGTCCCTTTAAACCCTTTGGCGAGCGTATATATATGCGTTCAAAGGGAGTCTTAGACCAATTGCCCTGCAGTTCGTTTATCAAATGTTTTGTCACTTTAAACCTCCATCTATAACATAAACATCGATATATTAACGTAAAGACACTCTATCTCATGACTGTAGTGCATTAAAGTGTAGATATCGATGCTTATGCTATAGACGAAAGCTTAAACCAACAAAATATTTCATAGAAAAAGCAATGGATCTGAGAACACCTTCACACCCTTATATGACTCCCACCTCCCTCTCCAACACCTCCCATACTCGAGCATCCTTACCTATGTTCCCTCCTCTCTCGTGAAGGGCGTGTTGCTCAACGGCCTTCTTCAGCGATCCCGTCAGGAGGCAGGCGTAGAACTGGGGCGAGGAGACGCTCGTGGGGGCGGTCGAGGGTGGGGACCCACTGCCTCCACTCCCTCGCTTGTACTGCTGCTCTCTCCGGCCTTCCACGCGGCGGGGGTTTTCCGGAAGGACGGTCAGCTCCTCGATGAATCTGAAGGGGGAGCTTTGGGTTAGGTACTGTTGTGGGGATATTTTTTCCTTTCTTTCTTCTTTCTTTTTTTCTATCTTTCTTTTTTTGGGGGGGGGGGAGGAGGTAGCGGAGTAAGTGAGTGTTTTTTATGTGTTTGCATGGTTTCTTGAGGAATTAATGATCATATCAACAACAGCAATAGCAATGATAATATTAATAACAATAATAATAATGATGGATATAACAATAATAATAACATAATCATTATCATCAGCATTATTATTATTATCATACTATAATTAGTAGTAACAGCAGAAGTAGTAATACCAAGACTACACCAGACCCCCTCACCTTGTCAATAAGTCTTTGGCAGTCATCAGGGGATCGAGCTTTACTGGGTAATTGCACTTGTTGAACTGAGGCGCCGACACCCTCAGGACGCCCTCTTGGTAGTCCACCTCGTTCTCGATGGGCCGCTGGATCGTCTCCTTGCTCTTGCGGGTCAGAAGTCTCCTCATCTGAAAAGGGTAGAGGTCGTGAGGTGATGACGAGGTCGGTCCAGAATGAAAATCGAAGTTGTTAGGAAATCTTGTGAAAAAAATGAAGGGTTGGAATGAGAGATGTCGGGTTTGAGGTTGAGATACGGTAGTACGTTTTTGTATTTAATTTTCGATGCACTTTTTTTTAGATTTTGGCTAAACAGTTTCGAGAAAACCCATACATTCAATCCTACTCACAAATGAAATAAAACTACCCCTTCCAAAAAAATTCCATGAACATACCTACAATCATAACAAAATAAACCAACGAATACCCTCCGCTCCCCTCCCCCCACACACAAAATAAAAACAACAACCACAACTACAATCCACCTAAAATTAACCACAACAGACGTCCCTCTCCCCTTCCTCCCAACCTCAGTCTATACTCACAGGCGTGTAGTTACTCTGCTTCAACGCCTCTGCCTGGTATATACGGCGGATCTGCGACACAAGCCGTTGGGGAACCGTCCACAGAACGTCCCTGTACTTGATCATCATCTGCGTCAGCTGGGTCGTCACGTTCGCGTAGGTCATCTGGAAGAGGGTAATGGATATTAGGGAAGAGATTGTGATTCAAGTTACTCTATAGGTCATCTGGAAGAGCGTAATGTATATTAGGGAAGAGGGTGTTTTGTATTAGGGAAGAGGTTATGTATAAGTTATTTGTGCATTATTGGTGTTATCGATAGGTCATCTGGACGAGGGTAATATATATTAGGGAAGAGGTTATGGTATAAGTTACTCGTGCATTATTGGTGTTATCGATAGGTCATCTGAAAGAGGATGTTTTGTATTAGGGAAGAGGTTATGGTATGAGTTATTCATACGTTACTGGTGTTATCGTTTGGGGTTTATTTATTATTGTAGTTTCTGTTGGGTTCAATGTTTCTATATTTGTTTCTATTATAGTTAGGGCTTTTTATGTCTAGAATGTACTTTAATGATTTTTGTAAAATGCGTATAATTTAGTCTGACAACTGACTGACTCTAGGTTAAAAGAAAAAAACGGTGTTTTTATGGGGATAACAACTCTTGAAACGATTGCTGAATTAGCTTCACATCTAACATCGAGGAAAATGTCGCAATAAAACACAAGCTAACCTCGAGCGTAGCTACAATCCCCCTCACTTTTTGGAAAAGCTACCACCCCACACACCTGATCCTCGCCCCCACCCCCCAGCCTATCACGTGACCCTGACCCACCTCATAATTCAGCTGCTGCTCCTTGTCCTCGCTCCTGAGGTTGAGCTTCGAGCGCTGGTTACTCGGCAGGAAGAGGTTGGGCGCCACGATCATCGCGATGTTGTAGAGCGTCATCTTGTTCTCGTCCTCAAAGGCTACCACTCGGGCACACAGCTCGAGGACGGCGTGGAGGGTGTCTCGGTGGGACGAGGGCAACAGGAGGATCAGCATCGTCAAGGCCAGGATTCGCTCGCCCATGTCCTTGATTCCTGTAGGAGGCGCCGACGGAGGGGGGGGGGAAGGTTCTTAAATGCTATGGTATTAAGATGTTCAGACGGTCTTAAGATAATGATGATGGTGAAGAGTTCTTGAGTTCTAAAGATAACATGATGGTGGAAAGTTCTGAAGTTCTTAAGATAACATGATGGTGAAAATTTATGAAGTTCTGAAGATAACATGATGGTGGAAAGTTCTGAAGTTCTTAAGATAACATGATGGTGAAAATTTATGAAGTTCTGAAGATAATGATGATGGTGAAGAGTTCTGAAGTTCTTAAGATAACATGATGGTGAAAATTTATGAAGTTCTGAAGATAATGATGATGGTGAAGAGTTCTGAAGTTCTTAAGATAACATGATGGTGGAAAGTTCTGAAGTTCTTAAGATAACATGATGGTGAAAATTTATGAAGTTCTGAAGATAATGATGATGGTGAAGAGTTCTGAAGTTCTTAAGATAACATGATGGTGGAAAGTTCTGAAGTTCTTAAGATAACATGATGGTGGAAAGTTCTGAAGTTCTTAAGATAACATGATGGTGGAAAGTTCTGAAGTTCTTAAGATAACATGATGGTGGAAAGTTCTGAAGTTCTTAAGATAACATGATGGTGGAAAGTTCTGAAGTTCTTAAGATAACATGATGGTGGAAAGTTCTGAAGTTCTTAAGATAACATGATGGTGGAAAGTTCTGAAGTTCTTAAGATAACATGATGGTGGAAAGTTCTGAAGTTCTTAAGATAACATGATGGTGGAAAGTTCTGAAGTTCTTAAGATAACATGATGGTGAAAATTTATGAAGTTCTGAAGATAATGATGATGGTGAAGAGTTCTGAAGTTCTTAAGATAACATGATGGTGAAAATTTATGAAGTTCTGAAGATAATGACGGTGAAGAGTTTTGAAGTTCTTAAGATAACATGATGGTGAAAAGTTCTGAAGTTCTTAACTAACATTATAGATTAATGTTCTGAGGTTCTTAAAATAGCATGAGGGTGAAATGGTCTGAAGTTCTATACTATATATTTGAGTGTATATATATGTATGTATATATATATATATATATATATATATATATATATATATATATATATATATATATATATATATATATCAACGACAATCGCAGCTACCAAACTCCAGGAAACAGTATTTCATAGAAAACGGGAAACCACCAAACGGAGCTAATAATTCAGAGAAAACGGGAAACAAACATTCGCCTTGACCCCAAACTCACCTGTGTCCGGGCACCCTCATGATGCCCTCCTGCCGCAGACCCTGGCGTTCCAACTGCAGGGCCAACTGGTAAAAAGAAAAGATAAAAGTGAAAAGTGATAAAAGTGATAGAGTGATAAAAATGTGAAAAGTCTCGCACGTAACGGAACTTTACCAATTCGGTGTGATATTACTCAATCAATCATATTTTAATACCACTTGATATATAAACCAATTTTACAGGTTCGATATTATCTGTCAGAGAGAAAAAATGACAACAAAAAATATCTTTTGGCTTTGATAATTGTAATATGCCACTCACCTTATAAAACACCAAAGGCACTTTAGTCTCAAGGGGAGACTCCTCCAAAAAGTTTCTGTCTCTCTCTATCAGGCTGTCAAGACGGACGCCGAACACTCCGCTTTCTGCAACAAATAAAAAAATAATACAATAAAAGTAACTAAAGTAATTGAAAAGTAATATTCATTCCTCAAAATACTCAATCAGTTAAAAAAACAAAAAACAAAAAAAATCTCCAAAAAATAACCACGAAACTCTACAAAGACCAAAAAAAAAATCAACAAAGAAAATCAACAAAAAAGATAAAAAAAAAAAAAAACGAAAAACAATAAAACAC